AGATGTTCTAGAGGGACCCGATGCCAACAACGCGACTGCCTACCTTCCACACACCACTTCATGGGAAACGGGTCTTTTACTCAATTCGCCGACTGGCGCTTTGTTCACCGGGCCAAACTAAACACTCTGCCCTTGAACGGTTGCCAAAGGGGTGAAGTGAGTAAAAATAAATCGTGTCGGAGGTGTGGAGATCCACTCGAAACACTGGCCCATGTACTCGGACAGTGTCGTACACAACACTCCCTGCAGTATCGGGCCCGGCACGATGGCATCGTCCGACGCGTCGTCAACGCTCTCCCGCAACATCTGAGAGCGACGGCAGTGCTGGACAAGACGGTTCCGGGGATGAATGATGGGCTACGCCCGGACATCGTGGTCATTGATGAGAAACGGCGCAAAGTGTTCATTGTAGACGTTGCCGTGACCTTCGAGACCCCCGGCGCCTTCGAACGTGCAAGGTACGACAAGCAGACGAAGTACGAGCCCGCAAGACGCCACTACGAATGCAAGGGCTACGTCGCCGTCGTCGTGCCATGGGTCGTCGGGCAGTTGGGTAGCGTGTGGAAAGGACTCCGGGAGGCTGCCCGAGTACTGGAGATCCCGACCCCCTACTTCCAACTGATGGAGAAGTTGATGGCCAGTGACACCCTCCGTCACTCCCGTGCCATATACGCTTCTCACGTGTCTGGTCAGCGCATAGCGCCCCAGCGCGTCGCCTAAGACCGCCCTCACCACTGCACGGTGACAGCGAGAGGCGCCCCGCAATCCCGCACCTTCGAGATGCCTTCCCCATCCCATTGTGTGTGTCCCCTTCCCCTTCCCCAAGGCCCTTGTGCCGCTTCCCTTCCCCGTAGCATTTTGACTTTGCTTGTACATTTGATGGACTTAGACAGTCCCTCTAACTAACTTTCTAACCCCCACTTAGCTTTAACTAACTTTAACTAACATACGAGTAAGCCCACCTCTCCCCGTGGAGTGTGCCTGACCGGCGGGTGAAACGACGGAGAGTATAGGTTCCCTCTGTTTGTTCTTGCCATTCATAGAACCATACGGTTTCACACTGTGTTTTTACTTGCCTTCAACTACTGACCTCGGTCAGAACATCGATTCATAAACTTGTCTATCTGTTCTTATCGGCTTAATCTCCGGTACGTTACCAATTGGTAACATCGAGATTAACTGATTTTTGGAACCGGTTGGGTTTGCAGGGGCTTGCTCCTCGCCCAACACGGGTCGGCCCGGTATTGCACTACCTCCGGGAACGGCCCTCCCCCTCTGGGGGAAACAAATGTGAAATTAAAAATGAAAATTGCATCACGTTCTCTGCGAAACTTGCAAATTGCCAGAGGCATCAAAAAGGGGTTTTTATGCCCTCTGGCATGTAAGTGGCAAAATGTGTGGTGAACGCTGAATAAGTAGACATGAGGAGTCGAAGAGGATACCTCTAACAATAAGAACTCAAAGTGTTGCGTAGTCCTGTGGATGAGACTTTAGTGTATCCCACCAAACCACATGCCACCAAATGTAAAAATTAAGGGTATTGTTATTTTGGTTCGGTGGGAGGGTGCTGGATAGTGTGTAGAGGGGTGAGAGAAAACAGAGGAGCATGTCTTGTTCTGCCCCGGCGATAGTATACAACACGAAGGAATACTAACGGAAGGACGTGGTCACCTTTAAACTTACCTGGCTGGGGGGCTTTCGTGATCAAGAAGACGGAACCCCTATGGTGAGGCGGCTCCATTGCACTTTCGGAGACGCTGACCTGTATGGCAGGTCCGAGTTGGGCTTGGCCAACAGCTACATTTTTGAGTGAGGGTCTGCGTTCGCGCGGACCCAACAAAAGATAAATTCATGTGCGATGCGAGTATGAGATGTCGCCTTGCAGTGTGGAAGATGGAATTGTCTTGGAGATGCCAGTGGCTGTTGTAGAAGTGATGTGTGTAACCCGCACATTGTGTATGTCACACGCTTGACTAAACCTTTTCGGATGACGAATCGTTAACTCTGGGTCCTCTGCATTTGCTCGAGAAAATCTTTCGCCTTTTACTAAAGATTTCCGTGCAGAGGATCAAACTATGAGTATAACTCATTTTTTGGCATCCCCTCGAAAGAGCGGGATACTTTATTGGAACGATTCAATGTCAACGAGGTCATGTTTCGTATCGGTAACATTGTGTATGGAAGTTGCAGAAAAGAGCAGTGCCAAACCCGCGCAGTCTATGTCGCTTGATTGGTGGTGTGACGTACACAAGCCGGGCATTACTGAAACCTATCCTTTTCGGTCGTTTGACACCTTGATCGATAGATCTCATTGTCAAAATACACTTGAAGTTGTAATGAAATCGTGACCTTGTAAAAGGTCTGACTCGTGTTTCAAGCAAGAAAAAATGTTGCTCTAGCCATCTTCATTCTGGATAATGTACTCCGTTACTTATCAACAAGAGGGCTCTTCATCCAGACAGCGAAGAAGACCTTCGCTTACGACCATACCTCGTTGAGAACACGGCATCCCGTCCGATCTGCCAAGTTAAGCAACGATGGGCCCGGTTAGTACTTGGATCGGAGACGGCTTGGGAATCCCGGGTGTTGTAAGCTTTTGGTGATTTCATTTTGACTCTGTTGTTGTCGTTTCTCTAACCCGCAAACTATACGTGACATCAATTAGTACAAGAACAATTAATTTGGCGATTACTACGAGGGTTCATTCGAATCCTTGATGTGGAGATAACCCACTAGATCCGAGATAGGGGCGGAGTCCCCGATTCAACGATGGGCCAACCAATACGTATCATCTCTCGATCAGTCTGGTCGAGAATGACGGCCTCTTCGGAGGACTATTTTGGAGGGCTTCGGCCCACGTCACCCAGGGGTGACCCCAAGTCCTCGTCGGAGGACTTTTTTTGGAGGGTTTCGGCCCACGTCACCCAGGGGTGACANTGGATCGGAGACGGCTTGGGAATCCGGGGTGTTGTAAGCTTTTTGCCGTCTCTGCCTCAAAAACATGGCGCAACACCTCCTGCAAAGTGTCCCAGAGTTCGCAGCTAGACGTTGTCGCTTACGACCATACCACGTTGAGAACACGGCATCCCGTCCGATCTGCCAAGTTAAGCAACGTTGGGCCCCGCTAGTACTTGGATCGGAGACGGCTTGGGAATCCGGGGTGTTGTAAGCTTTTTGCCGTCTCTGCCTCAAAAACATGGCGCAACACCTCCTGCAAAGTGTCCCAGAGTTCGCAGCTAGACGTTGTCGCTTACGACCATACCACGTTGAGAACACGGCATCCCGTCCGATCTGCCAAGTTAAGCAACGTTGGGCCCCGCTAGTACTTGGATCGGAGACGGCTTGGGAATCCGGGGTGTTGTAAGCATTTTGCCTTCTCTGCTTCAAACTACCCCACAACCAACACCATCTACTTTGCATCTTTTGCCATGTGTCTACACGGTGCCTCACACCTGCCCCCACATGCCGTCGCACCTTGCCTCTCACCTCACCTCGCACTTCACACATCGCACCTCGCACACACACCATCTCAACTGCATTGTCGTCGTCTCCGTTTCACTCACACAAACTTTTCCCGTAAATCCGCTAAACTGTTTCAAAGTGTACTGCAGCACAAGTCCACGCAAGGTCCGGTGCACCCCACACACACCTCTCTGACCACCTCTGACAGTACCCACTCTAAGGATCGCGCGCAACCGGCGGCGATACGCGACGGCATTTGGTGACGCCAACTTTCAGCACTGAATCTGCATCGCTTCTCGGCCTTTTGGCTAAGATCAAAGTGTAGTATCTGTTCTTATCGGCTTAATCTCCGGTACGTTTCCTATAGGAAACTTCGAGATTAACTGATTTTTGGGACCTGGTGAGTTTGCAGGGGCTTGCTCCTCGCTCACCACGGGTCGGCCCGGTATTGCACTGCCTCCGGGATCGGCCCTCCCCCCTCGGGGGGAAATAAACACCAAAGCAACATTCGGAAAAGCCTTCCCCAACATTTACCTGTCGCTACAGAGTCGACTTCCTAACATAAGGGGTACTGTGTGCGGGCGCAATCGGCGGCGATACGGAGCGGCACCAAGTGACGCGACCACAGCGCGCTGCTCACTCAACTCTGGGTCCTCTGCATTTGACCGTGAAAATCTTTCGCCTTTTACTAAAGATTTCCGTGCAGAGGATCACACTATGAGTGTAATCCTTTTTTTGGAATCCCCTCGAAAGAGCGGGATAAAATTATCCAAAACACCGCATTGTACAGCACAATCAGTGAGCCACACAGAGAGACCAGCGTGGAATCGGAGAGAGTGCACTCAAGCACACAACCAAACTCTCAATCACACCCTCATCGCAACACGTACACCCTTGTTTGAGCGCAACGCATGATCCAGACGCATCGTCACTGCAGACTTGAACCCAAAGAAGGATGACAAAAATTTTGTCTCGCGTTGTCTGTCCGTGTGCTGGATTCCCCATGGCTCACTCCATAATCTGTCCAATTTTGAGCCCGATCGGACGTCTACAAGTCGAGAAAGGGGTTCATGGAGTGAAGCACGGGGAATCCAGCCGTGATGGTCTCATCAACAGACAACGGGTACCATGAGCAGGCAACGTCAGACAGCACCCATTTCTTCACTTCTCTTCAAGTCTGCACTCACTTTGCAGCCTCGTCAGCCATAACATGGCAACAACGGCCATCGTACGGTCTCCACAGCATCGCCCCCAGCCGGCCACACTCTCCCTACAGTACCACACACAAGCCACGTGCGCGGAAGGCGCCGATACGGAGCGCCCCCAGCCCCAGCCTCGCCTCCACTCTGCTCATAAACTTACCTGGCTGGGGGGCTCTCGTGATCAAGAAGACGGGACCCCTACGGTGAGGCTTGGCCATTGCACTTTCGGCCAGGTTGACCCGTATGGCAGGTCCGAGTTGGGCTTGGCCAACAGCTACATTTTTGCGTGAGGGGCTGCGTTCGCGCGGCCCCAATCAACTCACCAACACGCTAGCATACATTCGCTTTGCGCTTGTGACAACCCCATGTGCTGACAAAACCCAAAAGTACACCCCTGTTTTTACTGTGTCTCTGCCTCGATTTTAACGTGTGGCCTTCAGCGTTGTGGGAAACTGTAGAGACGTTCAAAGAAACTTCTCTCATCTCATCAGCCATTCTAATGTATCTACCTAGATACGTAACAACTTGTAGTAAAAAACTTTCTCTTAGTCTTCCAGAACTCCAAGATTTTTGTGTACAGAATAATGTATCTTCAGTTTCGACAAACTTCCTCAGCATCTCCTCCTAGTCATTAGGTCTCTGCCTCGTCTTCCGAGTTCGTCAGCCTTTCTATCTAAACTACCTATCAAATCATGTCTCTTCCTCTTCACCCAACCTCTTCGACACTCTGGTCTATAGTAAACACTGCTTGGTTGTACAAATTAAAGGAGCAGGAGCAGTGAAGAACTGCCTTGGTGTAGCACTCAATCAGTGTTTCGACGCCCCAAGCAGCCCGCTTGGATTTACTCCCAAGCAGAACTTAACTGCTTCAAGCAGACTGCTTGGGTGAGCACCCAAGCACCCAAGCAGTTTGCACTTTCAACTGCTTGGGAGTAACAGCGAAATAGTCTGTTTAGACTCTAAACTTTAGAGGCGTCGAAACACTGCTTAGTGCTTCGCGCAAACAGTTGCTCAGAAGCGCCTCTTATTTTTACAGTCAAACAGTGCTTACTAAAGACCATATCATCCATTACCTAATCAA